TGATCAAACAAAGCAGTATCTCGAAATGCTTTAGTCAATTGTTTTTTTTTTCTTAGTTCAGATACAAAAGAAATTCTAAACACAACAGCTGTAATCTTACATTTAATGTAAATATCAATAGATGTCCTGATTATTTTGTTTGAATTTCGAACGTATTACACTGAGGTCTCTAGTAGTTGTTATATTTTTTTTTAATAATAAACAATATTTATTCTTTTTTATTTATGCGTAAGGGACGTGTATGACAGAGCTGAACGCAATTGATACTAAGGGAGGGTGGCTGGCCGCCCTGCGTCGACAGGGCGGGGCAGATACTCGAGACAAACGCAGATTTTAATTCAGTTATAGCATTTCCAATAGCGTCTAGCTATTGTTTATAACTTTATTTCGACAAGTTGCCTGGCTCGTTAACAATATTATTGTCCTTTTGTCGAAAAATTAGACTTTTAGTTGACATCAAACTTAGTGAGGCTTGAAAAGACGTAGGTACTTACTTGTGATTGAAATATATTTTAACTTATTTTAAAAGCTTCATTAATTATATTCTGATTTAGTTATTGCTTTTAGGTGATTCAATTATTTACAGTATTGTTATATTTTTAAGGGATGATAATGGAAAAGTACTAACGGTAGTCAGTGAAGGATGATAAGTGAGGCATGGACAGGTCAGTTAGCCCTTCTTAATAAAGTCATCAGGAACTAATCAGGAAGGTTTCCAGGATAAACCGCGTGGAGGTCAATCTGACATTGTACATTGCTAGCAATAGGTACATTAGTGCACATTACTAGGATTCCCATTACCTTCGATTATGGTACATTCACATAATATTGTAATACCTGGAACAATATATTCTACCTTTTAAACGAAAAAGGGAAAGTATTTTTTAAATGGATTGGATGATTCTGAAGATATCTCTCAACACACAAAAACTTATAAAATTACCATTTTTTCTATACAATCGCGTACTACTTTCACAATTATTATGGTTATAAGTTCCTATTAATATGACTAGCCGATGCAAACAAAATTATGTATGTAATTTATACTACTTACTGATACACTTTACTTCCGATGGTCGCGGGTTCGATTTCTCACACAGTACAAACATTTGAAACATTTGTTTGTATGAGTATGATTGTTTCTAATGATCTACATTTTTATATTTCAGTTTAGCACTTATGTAGTACCTAAAATTCAAGCACTGCATAGCTTGGGACTAGATGGCGCAGTTTGGATTTTCCAGGAATATTATTATGATCCACAATAAAGATCAATTTGTATTTAGAAGAGGATAAACTTACCTTATGTTGGGTTAAAAAAGGCATCACTATGATTTCGACCATTGACAACGTATTTGAACACACCACTAATACTAGCAGCCATGAATATATACATATATTCCTAGCATAGACAAAAATACTTTCCCAACCGCGTCGTAATCCGGACGAGCGAAGGTCTCGTGTCCAGGAAGCCATTGCCACGCGACATCAAATCCAATTAGGATTTTAGCTAACGTGAACGCAGCAGGCAGATTAAAAATATACGCAGTTCCAATGCAGCGTGATTGGAAAGCGCGTGGATTTTATAGAGACCTTTATTTTTACCCGGTATTTATTTATAACTAACTACTATTCCCGACTTCGCACAATTGTACATGTATTATACATATAAACCTTCCTCTTGAATGACTCTATCTATTGCTAAAACTGCATTAAAATCCGTTGCGCAGTTTATAAATATAAGGTTCGCTTAGATGTTTTTAAGTACTCGTATTTTAAGATTTTTAAGACAAAGGAAGCGACTTCATTTTATATTGTGGATAGATATCACGGCTGTTATCCTAGATGGAACAGTTTTTTTTTTATTGATGATAATGGAATGGCGCACCCGCCTGCGCTAACGGTTTACGCTGGCGGGGCACCAGTGGAGGATGATAAGATGAGCATGAGGTCAGGTCAGTTAGCCCATCGTGACAAATTAATCAGAAATTTATCACAGTGGTTTCCAGGGGGAACCGCGTGGAGGTCAACCTGACATGGTATTTTGCTAGCAATGAGATCATCAATCCACATTACTAACTATCCCCTTTCCCCCCGCTAAATTAGTATTACAATCGCCTAAATACATAAACCAACATAAAGACGTATATGTTCCAAAACTTCTTTATGTTAATTTGTCTGTACACAGCTTAGAAACCTTACAGTAATAATTATAATTAAAGCATTTTATTTTCACACTTGTATCGACTTCGCCAGGGTGCTCATTAAATTACTTACAAAGTTATAATGTGTATTGTGTGTTTTTTTATATAACTTAACACTTAACTTAATTTTATATTAAAAAACCTTTAATATAACATTGTCTGTAATGTTCTGGATATGAATAAAGACTTTCTATAAAATTTATATTAAACATATATATACTTCGTTCTGGAGATTATTCGTAAATAAGGTTTGTATACTAAAAAATAGCAATTCACAAAATCGTGAAGTATAACTTTACTGTCTTAAAATCCGATACGTAATTTCAAAAAATCTAAGCATACACATGTAAAGAAAATTATATTTATATGTTTAATATTATTCTAACTTTACTAATTACGCGAGACTGATATCAGAAAGTCTCCGACTGGTAAATTAATGTTCTTATCATAATTACAACCCCTCATACTCAGCACTGTGAACTTGTAACATGTAGATGGTATATTTATTTAGGACACTTAATATCTTTCAATTTACGTACGCAAAATAAGTATAGCGAAAAATTAAAATTACGTGGAACAACTAATGGGCACTGAAAGAAATATTTAATGATAATTTGCCCATGCCAATTGTTTATAAAATCCTTTTGTTCTTATGTAAATAAAATTAATATTTTGTACTTTTTATGGATTTGTATTATACTTCCAACGATTCACTTAAGAATGACATTTAAAATTCGAGTGTTATATTTTTTTTTTTTAGTAAAATATAATGTAGCAATGAGGTTGCATACATTTATAAATAACAACACCTAACGTCTTAGATACCATTAAAAAAAAAGTATGATAATTACTCTAATACTATATATAACATAAACTTGACAAGCATATTAATATTAACAGCAAACCATCTAGAAAAAATGTATTTTCTTTCGACGTCAATGAGGCAACGGAAATTTCATAGACTAAAAATTAGAGACCACAGATGGGCAATAATAATTACAAATTGGTATCTCATAAAACAAAAACGTAGACCAGGCAGACCAAGTAAAAAAAAGAGCGACGACATAACACAAACGCGAGAAAAGTATGGAATACAGTTGCAAAAGACATTTGAATTTAGCACCGTAAAAATCGCTGGCCCAGATTTATTAAATTTATTATTTATATTACATTTATTATCTTATCTATATTGTGAACTAGCAGTTCCCGCGACTTAGTCTGCTTGGAATTTAACTTTAATTTTTCTAAAATAAAAGCAGCCTAAGTTACTCCTTATTACATCAGCTACCTGCCAAAAAAAGTTCCGTCAAAATCGATCCAGCCATTTCAGATATTAGCTGGAGCAAACAGACAGACACAAAAATGATAAAAAACGTTATTTTGGTGTATGCACCGTATTTATATTCATATGGATGTGTAATAAAAAACGGTTATTTCAATGTTACAAACAAACACTCCAATTTTATTTATATGTATAGATTTATTTAGAATAAATTTTATTTATAAGAGTAATACACAAGTTTGTTGCCTATTCTTCTTGTGATGAGTCTGCGTTCCGAATGAGAGGTAAAATCAAATATAATGACTATTCAATAGTGTTTATATTGAGTTTATTTGAATGAAGATTATTTCTATTTCTATTAGTAACACAGTAACAATAATTATAAATGCGAACGAATACTAATATTTTAACATGTTAACATGGAATAATGAAGTTATAAATAAATAAAAAAGTAAACCTCTTATGGACCGATGTGGGCGTACAATTTCTTTGATACTAATCGTCTGTCTGGGCCGACTGGGTGAATGTAGATAAATAATCTATCCGACATCTTACGACTGATCATGTTGAAAAATATACACAATTTTTATTACAAACTAGCTGTAAACGCGACTTCGTCCGCATAGAATTTAACTTTATTTTTTTAAAATAAAAGTAGACTAAGTGACTCCTTATAACATCAGCTACCTGCCAAAAAAAGTACCGTCATAATCGGTCCAGCCACTTCAGATATTAGCAGTAACAAACAGACAGACAAAAATGGTAAAAAATGTTATTTTGGAATATGTACCACCGTATTTATATTCATATGCATGTAGAAAAAAATGGTTATTTCAATTTTACAAACAGACACTCCAATTTTATTTATATGTATCTATAGATTGCATGAAACTAGTAACAAATTATACGAACTTCAAAAAGGAGGAAGATCGCAATTCGACTGTATTTTCTTGGTGTGTTATTTCATTTTTTTTTCTATACATAATTATATTAAAATCTGACCAGTACTTTTAGTAGTTTCATAATAATACGGTTACGAAATTGTATCGAATTTGTATTTGAAATTACGAAAACGAACGATACGGTTTTTTCATTAACTGTACACTTGTAATTATTTAGTACGTCATGACTACACAATGGCTGAACTGTTTTATGTGATAGAGCACGCCGTATAACCTGTAAACTATTTGATCTGCCCGGGTTTTAGATTTGGTGATCTGTCAACCCTATGCTATTTTATGTGCAATAAAAAAATAGCTAAAATTCGTTAAATTAATACTATAAGCCATTTAAATATTAATATATTCGACATGAAGTCAATAAAGAAAAAAGAAATATCAAGTACGAAATTAATAATAAATATATTGTATAAAGTTGTACACAATTGATTCCTTTGCTGACAAAACTTAAACTTTCGACAAAAAGTGTAAAACGTCATTCCAAGCGTTATTTGTCATCATTGACAGAAGTCAAACCAAGTGTCAAAAGCTATTTTGTTTGTATTAGATTCTGATTGTCGGTTTCGTTTTAATAATTGATCTATTTTACTTAAATTGTCTAATATTATTACAAACGATTAATATAAATAAAAAAAACTGTTGTGCATATAGTTTATTAGCTGCAGTTCAATTTTAGATGACACTTGGACGCAAATATCAACATTCTTCCGGGTAAATGGATTGATTACACCCTAGGGTCTCGCTTAACGATGCATGTAACTTGGGTTGGAGGTACAAAAATACGGCTGGATTGATTTTTTTATTTATAGGAATGCTGGGGACGCTCGGAAGGTATATGCTAACCAGTCGAAGGTGGGAACTCTCTCGGGGTGCTCGTCTTCAGTGAGTTAACATTATTTTATTATTAATATCAATCATACAGTCTTATCCTGTCTTTCGTACATGCTTTGAATATTTTATTAATCACTTCACTAGTGGTCTTAACGTAGCATACTGTGCTACAAGTAATTAGGCTCTAATTTATTCTAATACTATAATTTGCGTTTATCTTTTTTGTTACCTTTCACTAATAACTGCCTGAACAAATATTAATCAAATTTGATGATATATCATCATGTATTATAAAAATAAACATAGGTATCTTACCTTAAAAATGTAGATGAATTTATGGGTCACACCCAAAAATTTATATTTAGAATTTAAAATCTTTTTGAATATTTACCAACATATATGTCTATCAACATCAATGACTGATACTACTACGACACACTAGAAAAGCCCACTATTGTATGCTGTGTGTATGGACTGAGGCCTATGTCCAGCAGTGGACTGATGATGTGTATGGACTCATATTTGTATTAGCATGAAAGCCATGTATACTGTTTGCTGGAGGAATATTGCAATGTTTAATTTGTTGTATTAATGAAATAAAAAATGGTTTGAATATAGTTTACATAGAATTTAATAGTGACGCAACAGAATGTTTGAGAAGAAGTGCGAAAAATTGTATATAAAGTTAAACAAAACAACATTGATGTTCTATGCGTGACATTCCAAATTTGAATTTTATTTTTAAATATATTGAATGGCTATTTGCAATCGCAAACACTAACAAATATACAAGAACATATATACAAATATATTCTCTTGAAGAGTACAAGAAGAAGAGTAAGTAGCGACTCTCCTCAAGTTCATTTGTTATTGTCCAAATCTCAACTATGAGGAGATATGTCAAATGTATTATGAACTGAATAAAACTAACAAGAAACCCTGCTCTTATTCTTTACAAATGAGCTTGTTTGTTCATAATTACAAAAATATAGATTCATTATTAATACAATTAGGGAGAATTGTTTCTTCTTGTTATTGTCCAAATCAAAATTTATTTATTTACATAGGTGTATTACAGACTCTTATGATATGTCAAATGTATTATGAACTGAATAAAACTAACAAGAAACCTGGCTCTTATTCTTTACAAATGAGCTTTTACAAAAATATAGGTTCATTAATAATACAATTAGGGAGAAATGTAGGAGTGTAGACTCCATAAAGGTTGGAATTTGACCATCATTAGGGAAGATCGTAACAATAGTCAAGTTTCGGTACTGACTGAATATTTTTGATTTCTCAAATGCTAATTGTAGCAGAATTAAACAAAATAACTTAATCAATGTCAGTGTCTGAGCATTGAGCATGAAATAATACATAATAATGTAATATTGTATATATAAATAGATGTTATTACTAATATTGTAATAGTCCAAATGCTACCAACCATATACATGAGTCATTTATTATTGTTAATTTAGTATTGTATAACATAGCAATTTTATTAAAAACAATTTGAGTCATACAAATAAATTATTAAGTAATTATTATAATATATATTTTTAGACATTACTCATTTTCTGACAAGAAAGGAGCTTAATGAAATCTTGAATTGAATAATAAATATTAAAATAATAACAATGTCATATTATTATTTGCTATATAATAAATTCTTAATTGATTCCTCACACATCATATGATTATTTGTTTTTATCTATATATATTTATTTATCTATATCTTATATATAAAATTCTCGTGTCACAGTTTTTGTTCCCAAAAAATACTAATTATTTATATCTCCGTAAACACAAGCTTTGCATAGGTTGGGACAAGCTTCACATAGGTTGGGACTAAGACTAAAATTGATGTATTTTTATTTTTAATGATAATGAATTCTATGTGGTTTTTTCATTATTTTTTTTTATTTAAAATTAAACATTTATATACGATAAATGTGGTGAGCACAATGGTTCTAGAATGGACACATATGGTTCCACAAATTCCGCCTTATGTGAAGACATGAAAATTTTATATTAATGATTATGCTTGTAGAAATAATTACATAATTCTAGATAACATATTAGATTATATAATTTAATAATATTCTATATTATTGTTTACTCATTTTTAGCATTTCATTATCATAACATGACAATATTATTCTTATTTTTATGTCATTATACTAATACAAGCTGTGCCCGCAAATTACACCACGCGTTACTGTAAAGTTTCATAAAAATCCGTTCAGTAGTTTTTGCGTGAAAGAGTAACAAACATACATCCATCCATCCGTCCGTCCGTCCGTCCGTCCGTCCGTCCGTCCGTCCGTCCGTCCGTCCGTCCGTCCGTCCGTCCGTCCGTCCGTCCGTCCGTCCATACGTCCATCCATCCGTCCATCCATCCATCCATCCATCCATCCATCCATCCATCCATCCATCCATCCATCCATCCATCCATCCATCCATCCATCCATCCGTACGTCTAACTCACAACTTTTCTCGTATATATTATTAGTAAGACAGTCCAATTCGTAACTCAGTTTACGACTGATATTCTCAAATCGACGTATGGTTCGCATGATAACGCGTGCTAGTATTTATTTGTCATTTGTTTCTATACAGATATCACTGTGCGACATGATTGAGCCACCGGACTATGAGGAAGTGTGCGAGAGGCTGGTGGGTGAGCGAGATCCTCTCGCGTACCCTGCCTCCGACATTGAACTGTGCGTTGTACCCAAGCGAATACGGACACTAACACATGTGTTGCCCGATGAAGACTTGTAAGTAAACCTCATCTGTACAAATAAAAATTAAATGTCTGTTTGTCATTTTAAAATTAACAGCTTTCCACTAAAGTCCGACCGCTCAGAGTTTGCGTTTCTGACAGGTCGGGATCGAATGGGCGATGTAACTTTGAACTGACGGTCAATTTACGGCAAGATTTCAAATATCTTTTATTTGCCTTATTAACGAATGAAAGCCCTTATTCCAACTTACAATAAACTTATTCATTTTGGGCAAAAATGATTAACTACTTAATAAATAAAAGTCAAACCACATCAAACTGCGCTGATTCAAGGTTATTTGGTCACTACAAATTCAAACTGTTGCAAGCAAATTCCATAATTTCTGTCACCTAATCACCCTAGAATCTGAAGCCATCAGCGTGTACCAAAGCGAATAAAAGTTTAGCATTAAAATGTATAAAATTGTTAAATAATAGACTAGGTGCCGTCCAATCTGTTCATCGAATGGAATGACTCAACGGTCACTCATCCACCCGTACGTCCCCGCCCCTTGCTCTTTCGCAGGGACCCGCGATTGCCCAATTGATCGAACTTGGATATCGATGCATAAACAATGTTAAAAGAATATAAATCTTGCAGTTCTACTTCAGAGATTGCGCTGTGTTTGTGAGCGCTGATAAAAGAAATTTTAATATATAGACCCTCTCAGTTGGTAATTATTTAATTTGGTTTATTATTTTTAAGATAGTTTACGATTAGTTTGATATTTGAAATTGAGTTGAGATGTTTAAAAATAAAATCCCAAAATAAATTTAGATAAAAAAAATCTTGCAGAACCAAAGCGCCTATGTTCGTCCGCGATTGTATACGATGTTACACACAAGACTACACCGTTGTGGAGTACAAGCACCGGGCATACTCCGCGTCGGTGTTCAACCGGGAGAGGATCAACGAACGCCTGGAGAAGCTCCAAGCAGGACCGCGGCACCAGTATGAAATAGATGCGGAGCCGCCCACAGTATCCACTGAGGAATTGGTACCTAATCAGGTATTGATAATAATAACAAATAATCCTGGACAATTAACCCAGCGCCACGGTAAGCAGAGCTCATGGTATGGGTACTAGACAACTGATATAAATACATAGATTTATTTTGCGAATACATACATAATGCACATAGAAAACACCTAGATCGATACGAACAATCATACTGAAAATCAAAATCTTAATATCTTTATTCATGTAGGTTAATAGTCTCTTATGATATGTCAAATCTACCCTCAGTGCATTCGAGCTAACAAGAACTGACAATAAACTTAACTCTTATTAATTTTAAATGAATTTATATAAAACTCATGAATAAAATGGTTTGTACCGCGCCAGGACTCAAACCCTGGACCTGGCGCTAGATGGCGCTGTGTAAAATATTCTGAAATATTATTGAACATTATGTGTATTATGTATGTATTTAGGAAAAAATCTGCCCATGTTTTTGTATGTCAGTTGTGTAGTACCTATAACATAAGCACTGCTTAGCTTGGGACTAGATGGCGCTGTGTAAAATATTCTGAGATATTATTCCACATTATTATATGAGGTATGAATTTACTTACAACTTCCTATAAGGTAAATAAGTTCTTAATGAATCACAATTTTCCAGTTTGAATCTCAACCATCAAGTGGACGCCAGTCAGTAGCTTCCATCTCATCATCGTCATCTTGCAACGAGACCTTGACTCCTCGAGGCTCTTGGGCGAGTCTGGATCTGCGCAGTTCCTCATCTGACCCACTGCTGCCGGACCTCTTCGAGAGGAAGCCGATGGAACAAGTGGATGCTATAAATGAAGCTAAAAGGTGAGTTGTATCGAACCTTAAGTTAGGTTACCCCTGGAAACCATCGTGTTAAATTCCTGGTGAATCTATCACGACGGGCTAACTGACCTGACCTCATGCTCATCTTATCATCCTCCACTGGTGCCCCGCCAGCGTAAACCGTTAGCGCAGGCGGGTGCACCATTCCATTATCATCCATGAAAAAAAACCCTTAAATTAAGAGGGTAAGGGATTGTTAGTAATGAGGATAGCAGCCCCATTGCTTGCAATATACCATGTCGGGTCGACCTCCATGCGGTGCACCCTTTGAATCATCGTGTATAATTTGCCATGATGAGCAAAGTGACCTGACTTCATGCTCGTCCTATCATACTTCACTGATCTAGAATATCCAGACCAATACAAGTAATTATATTCATGAATACAAATTTTTGTGCCGTTTCCTCGAACCCGCGACATTCGGAAGTAAATCGGTGTAATAAACAGCTACATAACCGAGGGCGACTTTGTAAGTCAAATTCCTCTTTGAAGAGATATGTGACAGATATTATAAGGAACTCAGACATCACACAGTCCTAAGGTAAAACAATGTATTTGCCAATGGCGGCACGGATAGGATGCGCGAGGAATCGAATCTGCGACCATACGAAAAGAGGCGGTATGCTAAACCGCTAGACCACAGAGGCCGTCAAATGTGTATAATTATGTACAACTTGTTGTCAGGTTGGAAAATCGTCAGCCCGATCTCTTAGGCCTGTACATACCGTACCTAGACGAAGAGGATGCTGTGGAGAGACGACTGCCGGCAGAGATGCCGTGCGAGCTCATGGGCCACAGAATACTGGTCAACTGCCACCAGCTCAAGTGAGTACACCGGAACATACTTTGACAATATATGATTAATTGTAAATGTATATGAAATTTTCCATAATTTTGTTCGTTTCATAAATATTCTCACTGAGTTAATGAGAATATTTATGAAAGTGACAAGTTTTATATATTGTTTTATTATGTATATTTTTAATATTTCATTCAGACGCTGCTTATTATTTAATTCAATTTGACCACAGACTAACAATAAATAAAAGAGTATACATGCGTGTGTGTGTCAAATATTAATGTATTTTTTACGGTTATTTAAAAAAAATAACATCTACATATACCTATATAAATAAGTGTGCTAAATTTCATATTCCTCACTCCGCGCAATTTTCGCAAAAAGAGGTACAAAGTTTTTACTTCACGTATTAATATAACGATTATTTATAATCCATAGATTTTTGTTTATTACAGATTGGAACTAGATGTGGAACCGCTATTCGCGTCAATGGCCCTGTTCGACGCGAAAGAGAAGAAGAAACTATCGGAGAATTTCTACTTCAATCTGAACTCTGAGTGCACAAAGCAGATGCTCTCCGGACACATCCCCCACGCGGACATCTCCACACTGAGCCGGAGCGCCATCTTTGATATACCAAACCCGTCGCCGGATGTATTCCTAGTCGTTCGTGTCGAGAAAGTTCTACAAGGGGATGTTAACGAATGTGTTGAGCCTTATATCAAAGATGATAAGGTTTGTTTTTGTTCTAAATTCTCTATCTGACTATCTAATCTTCTAGAAACTTATAGATCTTGGCCTGTAGGTTTGTTTTTCTTCTACTTTCTCTATCTGAGTATCTAATCTCCTAGAAGGTTCTAGATCTTGGCCTGTCTAGAACTGCACTGAGTTATATACTAGAACATGTATCTAAAGCTGCACTAGTAGGTATTACTAGATTTGTCTAGGCAGGAAGTGAATCTCGATCAAAACGACGAGAAAGAGCGCATCTTGCAACCGCGCATTTCCATTTTTGTAATAAATAAATGTCATTGTAAAATGGTGAATATCATGTAATTAATTACAGATTTATTGTTAATCTACTACTTTTAAACATGTCTATGGAAAATAATATTATCAAAATAAAGTAAAAAAAATACAAGCAATCATGCGCGAAGAAATTAATACAAAACATAAATCATTCAATAACGCGTGCGCGTAATTTTCCAATCAATCGAGCGCTCTTTACTTCAATCACGCAAGAACGTGTTGTGTAAAAGCAACTAATTACCTGGTATTATATACAAAAAAGAGTATATATATACCATAAAGTATAAAATGCATCTATGATTTTAGAACCGAGAGAAAGTGCGAGCCAGCGCGCAAGCTGCTTGCACCCGCCTCGGGAAATACCGCATGCCACTCGCCTGGAGTGCTGTATCCTTGCTGAACATCCTCAGCGGATCCAACAGTCTTGAACGGGAGCAAGCAGACAATAATAGTCTATCGGCTAATTCTAATACTAATAGTTTAGGTGAGTATTGTTATATATATAAGTAAAAACAATGAACTCCATACGAAGTAAATAATAAATACAAAACTACGTGATGTTTCTAACACTGTTTACAATGACTGATGTGGCGTAAAAAAAATAAGCAAAATGAAATGATTAAAAATCTTTTAATATGCCACTAGATGTTGAGTTACATTGAGTTTTTTTCATGGATGATAATGGGATGGTACACCCGCCTGCCTGGTTTACGCTGGCGGGGCACCAGTGAAGGATGTTAAGATGACCATGAGGTCAGGTCAGTTAGCCAATCTGACAAATTTACCAGGAATTTATCGCGATTGTTTCCAGGGGGAACCGCGTGGAGGTCAACCTGACATGGTACATTGCTAGTAATGGTATTATGAGTCCACATTACTAACAATCCCCTCCCCCTAGTTACATTGAGTTAGTTGTTAGTCTGTGGTTTATATTCCTAGTACTTAGTTTTGTTAATAAATATAATTAAAAAAAAACTATAGACCTAGGGCTTGTTGTCTCCCAATTGATGCCTGGGTAAAAAGGTTCGCCCCATGGCCCCAAACTGTTCATATTTACTATAATTGTACATTTATTATTTTTAATGGATGATATGCTGTTCGGGCTCCAGTGAAGGATGCTAATATGGGGTTAGTGATAGATTTATCACGAAGTAACCATGAGATTATCCAAAGAAAAACCATCGAGGACAACCTGACATGGTACTTAGTCAGCAATGGAGTCACTAGTCTCCAGTACTAATGTCCCCATTCTGGGGGAAAGTTCACATTATAACAATCCCCTTTTCCCTGGAAAGATGATGGTTAGTAATGTGGACTGATAACCCTATCGCTAGCAATGTACCATGTCAGGTTGACCACCATGCGGTTCCCCTGGAAACAATCCTGATAAATTCCTAGTCATTTTTTCACAATGGGCTAACTGACCTTATGAACATGAGGTCAGGTTAGTTAACCCGTCCTCCAGTGGTCCTTCACCAGCGTTAACCGTTAACGTAGACGGATGCACTATTTATTTACAAACCATTAAAAAAATAGATCCCTTTTGCCCCATATACACTTGTTGGTTCACAGACCGTAAGGTGTCGTTGTCGCTCCTGGGCACTAGCAACCCCATTGCTGACTATGTACCATAGTTGCCGAGGGGGAAAGGGATTGTTAGTAATGTGGACTCATGACCCCGTTACTAACAATGTACCATGTCAGGTTGACCTCCACGCGGTTCCCCCTGGAAACCATTGTGATAAATTCCTGCTAAATATGTCACGATGGGCTAACTAACCTGACCTCATATTCATCTTATCATCCTCCACTGGTGCCCCGCCAGCATAAACCGTTGGCGCAGGCGGGTGCACCATACCATTATCATCCATGAAAAAAAAAAAACCTAACAATAGTAAGGGAAGGGTATTGTTAGTAATGTGGACTAATGAACCCATTACTAGCAATGTACCATGTCAGGTTGACCTCCACGCGGTTCCCCCTGGAAACCATTGTGATAAATACCCTGTGAATTTAACACGATGGGCTAACTGACCTGACTTCATCTTCATCTTATCATCCTCCACTGGTGCCCGCCAGCGTAAACCGTTAGCGGAGGCGAGTGCATCATTCCATTATCATCCACTAAAAAAAAACCATAGTTGCCGCGGGGGGAAAGGGGGATTGTTAGTAATGTGGATTAATTATCTTATTGCTAGCAATGTACCATGTCAGAATGACCTCCACGCGGTTCCCCCTGGATAAATTCTTGGTGAATTTATCACGATGGGCTAACTGACCTGATCTCATGTTCATCTTATCATCCTCCACTGGTGTCCTCCAGCGTAAACCGTTAGCGCAGGCAGGTGCACCATTCCGTTATCATCCATAAAGTATAGTTGCCGGAGTCACTTGTCCCCTGTACTAACAATCCCCTATCTCGTTGACACTTGTGGGGGCACAGATCGCAAGGCGTCGTCGTCGAGCCTGGAGCAGCTGCGGCGTCGTGCGGGCGAGGTGGGGGGCTCGCTCACCCGCAAGGGCTCCGTGGAGCGCCGCAACCCCCCCCCACACACGCCGCACGGGCCCGGCGCCCCCCACGACGACCTCGCCGCGCACCTCCTCACCTTCAAGCCCATCGTCATCACAGTCACCAGCTTCTTCAAGCAGGTACTTATGCCACACTGTTCACTGATTGTTACCAGCAGCTACGTCTGTTTTTTTTAATAAAATGTGTTCGTCCTTGTGATTCAATTGTATCTACCAGCAATGGTATTTCGGAACCGATACGATATTGAAACCTTCAAGAAAAGAGCTTATTCCTTTTTAAAAGGCCGACAACGTACTTGCAATTCCCCTGGTGTTGCGGGTGCTCATGGGCGGCGGCAGTCACTTACCATCAGGTGAGCCGCATGCTCGTTTGACACAGTGTTATAAAAAAAATTACATATTTACTGACTGCCTCGGTGGTTTAGCTGTTTAGCACTGGATCTCGTGTGGCGGCTCCAAAGTGTAACCGACATGTGAAACAAGTATTTAATATAAGCGAGTTGATTCTCTATGATTCTCTATATGCTACGCATGTGCCACCTACAATGATGGATCATGATGCTCTTCCTGATGCAACATATATTTATTTAGTCATATAATTTTCCTTGTATATAGACTTCTCACGGAGATAAAAAATTATGGTAAAGAATTATTAATATAATAGTATATCCAATATTTCATTTCTAATTAAACTTTCATGTTTTCTCATTTTATCTAATCCAGCAATTGATTTTATTCTAAAAAATGGATATCGTATTTGATTCAGAAACTCTGAACTTGATATAATAACCTTTCTTAAACTATACTCTGATCTTACATAATTAAAACTTTAAAGGAACCAGACAAACTCCGCGACGAGGACTTGTATAAATTCCTCGCGGAAATAAAAAGGCCAAGCTCAGCTCCAAAGAAACTGAAATGCATCCCTGGTACACTGAAGATCGAAGTATCGCCGTGTCCCGATGAAGTTAAAAACGGACTGACGCCCGAGTTAGCTAAACTGAACCCATATGGAGGTATGTATTAACTTATTCTTTTATTTATTAGATCTTCTATGTTCTATTAGAAAATAAAATTTCCACTATATATATGACGACCTCGGTGGTCTAGCGGTCTAGCACACCGCTTTACGACCGATGGTTGCGGGTTCGATTCCTCGCACGGCACAAACACTTGTATTCATGAGTATGATTGTTTGTATCGGTATGGGTGTTTTCTATATATAATATGTATGTATTTACGAAACTATATACATACCCATAACACAAGCTTTAGTTAGCTTAACTTGGGTCTAGATGGCGCTGTGTGAATTGTCCTGAGATTATTATTATTATTATTATTATTACTATAAAACTGTCCATACTGTATTTACCTATGTATTTTAGCCATCATTTATCAGAACATACACTTATATTTATACCTTACTAGCTACTCGCCCCGGCTTTGCCAGGGTGTACATGTATTATACATATAAACCTTTCTCTTGAATTACTCTATCTTTAAATAAAAACGCTTCAAAATCCGTTGCGTAATTTTAAAGATTTAAGCATACATAGGGACGGACAGACAACGACAGCTACTTTGTTTTATAATATGTAATGATCAGAAGTAACACCAACAAACCACGTTCACACAGACAACAGTACTACTAAATTTTAAATTAATTAATAACAGCTTCCCCTGAAAATCAGCGTTTGGGCATTACAGCCTAAACACAAGATGTATGGAAACCAATTTCGTCCTAGCTGTATTTTTTTAATTATTAATTATAACTGTTTGTAATATTGTAACATGTATGTTATTTTCTATGTGTTATATGTTAAACTAAATTTTAAATGCTATGTGTATGCATATTATCAGTGGATTAAAAACTAAACGACTCAAGATGCAAGCGTGACCTCTTGATTTCATTTTTTTTACGCAAATCACGACTAACAAGTGCATACTTTTCTTGCAAACACATAATAATAATCTCAGGACAATTCACACAGCGCCATCTAGACACAAGTTAAGCTAGCTAGAGCTTGTGTTATGGGTACTAGATAACTGATACATATACATAGATTTTTTTTGTAAATACATACATATTATACATAGAAAACACCCAGACCGATACAAACAATCATACTCATGAAAACAAATGTTTATGCCGTGCGAGGAATCGAACCCGCGACCATCGGTCGTAAAGCGGTGTGCTTGACCGCTAATAATTAATTAATTGAATTATTATGTATTATTTTATTAATTAATAATTAATACATAATAATTCAATACACATTACATGTGTATTGAATTATTATGTGTTACCTAAATAAAAAATTTTGAATTTGAATTTTCAAGTATGTGCTCACCAATATTTTAATTTTGTTTTTTTTTCTTATAAGACGAGAATATCCGTCCGTGCAAGGAGGTGCTAGCATTCCCGCTGAGCGCGGCTGCCGTCCCTCACTATCAGTACCGCAACCTCATGTACCTGACCGTTAGAGAGATCAACCTCACCGCTTACACCTCACGTACCGGCTCCGCCAGGAACATCACCGTAAGATTATTTTTCTATCCGTGTCATATAATTAACCGGTCATATAAAAATCTATTATTCAATAAGAAAATCCTTTATTTTATTTTTTGAAATTGTATTTATTAACAACGTACTTGCAATTCCCTTGGTGTTGCGGGTGCTCATTTGCGGCGGTAGTTACTTACCATCAGGTGAGCCGTATGCTCGTTTGTCTCCTGTGTTATAAGAAAAAAGTTGAAATTATCCGCAAAATTACTTGCAATTCCCCTGGTGTTGCGGGTGGTCATGGGCGGCGGTAATTACTTACCATCAGGTGAGCCGTATGCACGTTTGTCCCCTGTGTTATAAAAAAAAGATGAAATTATACGCAATTATGATACAGAATAATACAAATTACAGATTAAAACACAATATAGAGTAGATTTTTTTTAAATTGTGACATTTCTGGAAGTAGACATATAAACTATTGCTAACATCTTTATAAAATATATGTGCAGGTTCGAATCCAACTGATGTCCGGCGAGAACCAAGCGTCCGCGTTACCAGCCATATTTGGACGAAGCTCATGTCCTGAATTCACCACCGAAGCCTACACCACCGTGTTGTACCACAACAAGTATGTATATATTTGGTGGTCACTTGGAGGCTGCAATAAAATATACGTAACTTTGGTTATGTATGGTGATTGTTTTATAATTGTATACTCATGAATACAAATGTTTACACCGTGCGAGGAATCGAACCCGCGACCATCGAAAGTAATGCGGTGTGCTAAACCGCTAGAGCGAAGCCGTCAAATATACTAAACTAGCTACACGCCCCGGCTCCTCACGGGTGTACGTGTATTATATATATAAACCTTCCTTTAGAATCAATTTATCTATAGAAAAAACCGTTTTAAAATCCGTTGCGTAGTTTTAAAGATCTAAGCGTACATAGGGACGGACAGACAGCGACAGCGACTTTATTTAATATTATGTAATGATAATGTCTCTCAGAAACCCGTCTCTCTACGATGAGATAAAACTGAAGCTGCCGGCCGATCTCGGGGACCACCACCACCTGCTGTTCACGTTCATGCACGTCTCCTGCCAGAGGAAGCCCGTCGCGCCGGAACAGGAGAAGAATGTGGAAACGCCAATCGGTTACTCGGTATTAAAATAACATAAATAAATATTATTTAATAATAATAAATATTATTTTATTTTATTTATTTCTGAAATAAATAAATAAAATAAAATAATATTTATTACTAGCTGTACCGGCAAACGTTGTTTTGCCTTAAAATAAAAAAAAAATTAGAGGTGGACTACCTCTAACATTTAGGGGGATGAAAAATAGATATTGGCCGATTCTCAGACCTACTCAATACGCTCACAAAATTTCATGAGAATCGGTCAAGCCGTTTCGGAGGAGTATGGGAACGAAAATTGTGACACGAGAATTTTATATATAAGATTATTAAATAATATTTATTTATACTACTACTACTACTAATATTAATATACTAATAAATATGCTACTAATATTAAACTTAAATTTAAGCACTTTTATATACTCACAACAATCTTTTTTTACTGCTTAGTCAGAAAGCTGAGACTATATTAAATATTAGTAATATGGTTCATATTAAACTTTTTAAGCACTTTATATTTATATTATAATAACAGCTATCTTTTTTTTTAATCTAATCTAATCTATTCATCATTCGGAACTCTGACTCATCGCAATAAGAACGAGCAAGGAAATGCTTGCTCTTTTAGGCCCTTATTACCATTACTATAGTGTAAGTTTTGTATGGCAGTGGCGCAAGAAACTTGCTTGCTCCTTTATTCGATTGATTAAGATATTATTATTATTATGGTATAACGTTTGTTCGGCAGTGGCTGCCGCTGTGCCGCAACGGCAAGCTGACGTGCGGCGAGTACAACCTGGCGGTGATGCTGGAGGCGCCGCCAGATAACTACTCGTTCATCTTCCCGGACGTGCAGCTGCCCGGCACGCGCTGGATCGACAACCACAAGCCCATCTTCAGCGTCGCCCTCGACGCCCATACCACCGTGCACCCGCTGGTCAGTCGCAATTATTATATATTTTATACTAACTGTGCTCGCGTCATTATTCGCGTGCGATAGTGACCAAAGACAGAAAAAATATTCAATAATCTACCACAAAAGAAAGGAAAGAAAAATGATGATTTTCCATGCTTATTTTTCAACACATTTGCTCGTAAACTGAACCTAATTTCATCAATTTTCGATATATTAACCAGCTCATAAAACACGCATCAGTATAAAATAAAGTCGGTGTCGCTGTTTGTCCGTCCCGTAGATAGAGTGATTCATGAGGAAGGTTTATATATAGAATACATGTACACCCGTGGGAAGCCGGGGCGAGTAGCTAGTGTATTATAAGTGCAATTAGTGACGGTATAATCCATAACCGCACTATTTACAAATTTTTTTTATCAAATTTAGAACTGACCGTCGTGGGCGCCGCGACCGTATTTTATGGGTTACCTCATATTTTTTAGAACTTCTCTATTGATCTACTTATACATTTGATCTGATTTTTGATTTATGATTGATTTGATTTATTGTAATGCCCTGATCATTGTATTATTTTATTTATTTATTATGCATTCCATAATTTTGTATTAAGCCGTTAGTAGAGTTAAATTGACATCAAATTAATTATGGACCCTGTTAGACGCTAATCTAATACTATTTACTATTGTTTTGTAGGATGGATACATAGAGCGTTTCGCAATGGCATGCGAAGCGGTGCAGGAGGGGAACATACCTCCAAGAATAGGACTTGCTAATATGGAATCTGAACTGCGAGCAAGGTCAGTTAGTAATAAATCAGTTATAATAAATACCTACTTCGTCATTTTTGGAATTAATATAATTTTTGTTGTATTTTCTTTTTGGTCTCGAGGCTCGAAGGACCAATTTTTGTATAGTAACTGACTATACCCAAACAAATTCATATATGAAAGCTGAAGTGAGTGCGTGATTGTCCTGATATGCTCGGTAGAGCTATTATATTTGGCATCGGTAGTAATGTGGTATTGTACATTTGTAACAGCATAACAGAGCTGCCGACGGCCAACGTAGAAGCACTGGCGCGGTACCTGCCCGTGATACTCGACAAGCTACTACGGCTGTTGCTAGCGCCCCCCGCGCTCGCCGGACAGACACTCAACATCGCACAAGACGTCTTCACCTGCCTCGCGCACATCTTCACAGAGATTACGGTCACAGCTTCCCAATCTTTATTTTTCCATCGCCTTTAGGTATATTTCATGCAACTAGAATAGTAAAGAAATTGATTGTCCACACGATGGAAAGTGATACTAGTACAGTACGACGGACATTATATCGGGACGTGACGTCGTGAATGCTTAGCTATCGGCCTCGGTTCACTATAACTTCAGCGTCATACTTCATCCTTCGAGCCGGAACATTTACAAACCGTCAAAATCGACAGGAGAGTTTTACATATGCTACTACGTAAAACATCCATCTTGTCAATATTGTGCAGTGGTACTAAAACCCTAGTATTAAAAAGTACACAGTTGAGCAATAATTTTTGTTTATACTATGTAAGTGGCATACAAGCATACGGGTTATCTGATGGTAAACAGTTACTATAGCCGTTGATTACAATAGAATGTTGTGTTGTGAATGTGCAGAACATCAACGATGGTGCCGGCTGTGACCGTCACGGACGTAGCGCGCTGTTGAGCACCTACATACAGTACCAGTGCACCGCACCTCGGCCCAGCCTGGCCGACCGGGACATCGGCCTGCCGCTGCCGCCCTCCGGTGAGACACACACTAATACACACACTTTACAGCACAGGAACTCAATAAATAAGGACCAAAAAAATATCATGTAGAGGACACTGTATAGTGCAATAAAAGTGCAGCAATCAAGGTCAAGTGACTACTAAAAATTCAATATACTCTGTTGTTTATTACAGTGATGAGTGACGGATCATGTAAGATCCTGCATGAGGAGCTGGCGCTCCAGTGGGTGGTCGCGAGCGGAGCCACCAGGGATCTCGCCATGCACAACTCTTGGTAATCTTTTATTATTAATAGTTTATATGTAACTAGCTGTACCGGCAAACGTTGTTTTGCCTTAAAATAAAAAAAAAATTGGGGTGGACCCCTAACATTTAGGGGGATGAAAAAAAGTTGTTGGCCGATTATCAGACCTACTCAATACGCTCACAAAATTTCATAATAATCGGTCAAGCCGTTTCGAAGGAGTTTCGGGAACGAAAACTGTGACACGAGAATTTTATATATAAGATTACTAGCTGTGCCCGTGGTTTTAAATTTATGGCCTACATATTATTCTGATGTGTAAGCTGTATTATTCTTTGCTTTCGTTTGTGCTTTTCATCAAAAACCGTTCAGTAGTTTTTGTATGAAAGAGTAACAAACATCCATCCATACTCACAAACTTTCGCCTTTAAAATATTAATAAAATTTGGCAATGGCATTCCATCCGATCGCAATTGCCAATCGTCGCCTGTATACTTTAACTGGGTCTTTAATTCAGTAGCGTTTTAATTCGGTCGCGGGTTCGATTCCCCATTCGAATTTAGATATATATTGAACATGTGTATTTATACAACGTGGCGATTGCAGGGCGCTGTTCGAGCTGATGGTGAAGTCGATGGTGGAGTACCTGTACTGGAGCGGCGCGCACGAGGCGCCCCGCAAGGCTCGCTTCCCGGACCAGTTCACGGACGACCTCACCACGCTCGTCAACAACCTCACCTCGGAGATCATCTCCAAGTAACAAACATACATAGTAATAAACGTACATTGTAAACAATCATACTCATGAATACAAATGTTTGTGTCATGCAAGGAATGGAATCTGCAAATAATAAACTAGTCGACCGGGATGTCTACAGTATTACCTCTTCTTCATCTCTATTTATTTATTATTCTTAAATATATATTTATTTGTTTTACTATAAATAATGAACTGCCGTAGTACTCGAATAAAAAATATTTACATGCAGTAAAATCTTTACATTCTTTGGCATGAAATATTATTTTTATCACTAAACCTACCAAAATATGGAAATTTTGCAAATGCAAATTTTTTTCTTTTCTGTATATGTATATCTATTACAGACTTTTATAATATGTCAAATCTACCGTCAGTTCGGAGTCCTTTCGAGTTAAGAACTGATAAGGAACACAAATTAGCTTTATAGAACAAAACTACAGATTCATTTTTGCTATGAACACCTACATACTCTATTGCATTTTTATCAAAGGAAATAACCTAATCAGTGGCCGTAACCCTAATAAACCAGTTACTACAAGCAGTAGTTTTTCATCGTATTATATGACTCACCATATACCATTTAAGGGAAATGCAAATAATTTTGTAGCATCCTATAGAACATATCAGTGTTGTTCCGTATTCCGAACCTCCTTAGTCTAAGCAGGTTGTATCACCGGCTTGCTTACTGAAGCAAAGGGCGCTTGGTAATACTGGCCACATATAAAAATATGTGGCCACTTAAATTTCGAAAAAAGAATAATAAAACAATTGAAAATAAGAACTGGAATTAAAAGGACGCTCCGTATTTTTATCTATATAAAACAAGATAATTAATGATTTATTTAACACAATATAATAATTTTTGATGAAAATATACACTCTAGAGTGCGTGGCCACTAAACAGTACTACACATCGGGACGTTCCTAAGCAAAGGTGAGTAAGTTTGGTGTTACATTGCTTACTTTGGGGTGTTCGGAGTGTGGAAGACGTTCTTCCAGGTCGAAATCGTATTTTTACTTCCTTTTCCATTAATTATTTTCTTTTCAATAAATACAGTCCACTCTCTCTTTTATATATTAAGTTATAAAGATTCGTAATCCAACAAGTGTAATATTAAAAAAACACATTAACAGCGCCATTTACATGTTCCTGTGACGCCATCTAGTTTGCACATATTGAACTAAAATTACTTGCATCCACGCAATCCACGAATCAAAATAAAAGATGAGACTATAACTATATGTTCGTACCACAGATACGGGAAGAACAGCAAGTTGACACAGAGTCTGAACAACAGTCTGGCCTTCTTCCTGTTCGATCTACTGAGCATCATGGACCGGGGCTACGTGTTCAATCTAATCCGCAGTTACTACAAACAGATGTGCGCTAAGATCGCGTCGCTTCCTGACGCTGTACCACTAGTACAGTATAAGGTAATTCAGTACGTTTTTTTAAGAAATGTAATAGCATAGAAGCAGGTGATCGACCTGAAAGTCGTGGCCGTCGAGAAGAACGTCATCATCGGACAACCACGGTGTCAGCGCGTATCTGAAAATCTGCCATTTCTCAGTCTTCAACCGAAACACAACTTACAAAACAAGCTGCTTAGTAAGATTGCTTATCTATCAGTTGATAAAGTATTTGTATATGTTTATATATAGGACTAAAATATTATACATTTTCTCAATGTTTCTCTATATTACTCATGCTCAATACTCTAATCTTAGATTAATGATACATTGAGCACACACACACAATTAAAGTGCAAAACAAATCTTGATGAGTCTACGGTTACCACATTATATGAAGTTGGCCATCAGAATAATGAAGAATGTTAACTGATTTTGAATATTAGCTTTCATGTGGAAATCTCGGTTAAAAATAAAAAATATAAGTGAAAGAATTACTTCAATACGTCAATTAGTTTCTGATTTATAGAAGTAAACGTGCGATGCGGACTCGTGTGACGGTGTGACGTCACAACACTCGCTCTGTCCGCTCGCGCTCTCAGCACGGAGTCGTCTTACGTTCATTAGAAATGATAAATACTTTCAAAAATAACCAAACCAAATACTAGAAAATCATGTGTTGTGCCGAAACGTACAAATACAACCACCAAAGTAATAGTTATTTTTACTATAACCACAAAAAAATTCAACAAATTTGATAACAGTCGTTGCGTCCTCTCTTCGACGATGTAGCCACATTAGAAATGCTATAGTACGTTTACAGCCTCTGTTGGCGGCACAATCTTCGCAAGTTACGTTTAAAACTTCTTGGTTGTTTTCATTACTTTCTAAACTGCAACGGTACCGTGTGGTACGTACGCGTTGTTCGCGCGTGATTCTGCATTTGACCATACAAACATCACTTGCTCTTTTTACTTGTATGTAACCGATAGCATCATCACCAAAGCTGTCTCTTGCCGACTTGGAATAAGTTACAAATAAAAATAAATAAAACGGCCCTCGTATTTTATTAATAAGACAAATCAAAATTTAAAAAAAAGATTTAGTACATCTGTTCAAATCACTACAAATCAGTATACCTATGTGTTTAGTTAAATTTACTAAGAGAGAGGTACCTATATTTACTGATGTACATACATACCTATAGATATAAAAATCTAACACATATTTGTTGTCTATAACGTAAAAAGGTTTGGTACTTCTGCCTATTTGAGTTGCAATTCAAATTCAAATTCAAAAATCATTTATTCATGTAGGACATTTTAGCCGCTTATGAACGTCAAGTTTTTACATTAGAATTTTTTTTCCCTACCGTCCAGTTCGGTATATAGATCCAATTGAGAAGAACTGGTAAGAAACTCAATTGAATTACTTTTTTTTTAAATCCAGTTTATTTACAATGCATAGGTATTTATATAGGTGTCTATGTCTAACATTAAATGAAAATCCCGAACATGAAAACTATTGCCATGCACGCTCGTCATTCAAGTAATCGTTTAGTGAGTAATAGGCCTTGCTCAGTAAATATATAACAGATGTTTTGAATTTATTTAAGGGTAATTCCAATATATCCTTTGGTATGTTATTGTAAAATTTTATACCTATTCCCATAAAAGACCTATTGACTTTTTCTAAACGATACTTGGGGACTGCAAGTTTGTCTTTAAATCTAGTATTAATATTATGAATATTGCTGTGTTTTGGAAATAAGTCAAGATTTTTATGAACATATAGGATATTTGAATATATAAATTGAGAAGCAACGGTAAGAATATTTGCCTCTTTGAATTTCTCTCTTATTGAGTCACGACTCTTCATACAGTAGATCGCTCGAATGGCACGTTTTTGTAATATGAATATATTTTTAATATCTGCCGCTTTTCCCCATAATAATATTCCATAAGAGAGTAAACTATGAAAATAACTGAAATAGACCAA